ATTTCCTCTGCAGAACTTTAAAATTAAATGGCTCCTTCCTTTTTTATTTCCCTTCTATGAATGACCTAGAAGGGTGAAAAATCACAAATTTGCACTGAAAAGTGCTTCTCCATAAGTAACTAGTGTTTTCAAATGGATAATATAGCAGAATTAAGTAACTTGCAAAACATAAGTGGCTTTCAAAGGAGACACAATTCTGTCTCTGTGGTTAGTAGCTGCACACAGGGTAATGCCTGTGAATGGTTATGTATCTTCCAAATAAACCACTGAACAAAGCATTCAGTGTCAGAAATCTTACTTGATGACTTGCAGAACTGTGTTAGAAAGACTTAAAACAGAGAACCAGACACACTTAACAGACTTCACACTCCATCCTTGTGGCTCCCAATAGCAGAAGGTCTACTGGAATCCATACTACTGTCCAAAATCTATTAAACAATTGAAAAAAACTACAGTGACCCCACAGTCACTGAATAGTCAGTGGAAATAGGCTCTCCCAGACAGTAAGTCATCTGCTGTATTTTAGACACATGTCATAGGGTGAGATGAATCACTTCTCATTCTGCAGTAACTGAGCCAAATGTGGCCAGACAACGTCTCACTTGTAAGACAGTAAAAGTTTGGTAAGGTTAATCCCAGGCCCCAAGGTTTTTTTGTTTGGTTGGGGCTTTTTTTGCTGGTGATACATTATATTTTGCCTTTGATCTGTTTTGGCAAATGAAACATTTTAGAGGGAGGCATCTCCAGCAGTTCTGACTCAGGCAAGGTTCACATTGAGTCCACTGGGAGAATGGGGTGAGAAAACACTGCAGGACTTCTCTTCCAGGAAGTGAACTGTTTTACTGTTCCTTTCCCTCATGATATTTTGCCCTACCTTTCCATTCCCTTTAATCACTGGCTAGAGATGATGCCAGCAGACAGTTAGGTATTATCCCCAGGGCCCATGGATTGTCACAATAAATTCTGTGGAAAGACATAGTTTGATTAATGTCTACTGCAGGAGCTGAAGCCATAGCATAAAGATACCAACAGTCAGCTACTGCACTGTTCCTTTTGTTTGGCAGTGTAATATTTTCATCATTTTACCTGTAACACAAGCAGTTGGGCTGTTGCCCAGGAAAGGGGACCTGGCCAGTTGATGTTGCTGCCCCACAGCTGCTTTTCCTGCCTTGGTCCCTTCCAAAGCAGAAAGAACAACAGGGCTGAGCACAAGCTTTGGAAAGCTTCCAGGAGGCTTTCAGACTCCTGTCAGGAGCTGAAGGAGTGGATTGGCCCCATCCCTCCTCCATGACTACTTGTGAAACCCACTCCTTATTTCTCTCAGCATACTGTGTAACATGTATTTTAACATGGCAGCTGTTAAGACCCTTAATGAAGTCAGTTTAGCTATTTACTAGTACACCCTCCCACCACAGGCAAGAATCTTGGCAGCTCAGAAGAGCTTAATACATGATGTAGACAAACTGCTGAGCTCCAAGTCCTACCATGACTATGGTAGAAATTGTCCTTAGCTTTGAGTGGTGGGATGGATTTTCATGGATGCAGGTGCTTGCCTGGTGTAAAGACTGTGCAAGAGATTTTGTTGTCCATGTGCTTCACAGTGTCTACCAGTGGCACCAGGATGTTATCATGGGCTCTGAACATCCAGAAGTCTTCGTGTCCATTGACTCCATTAGGCTGTTTAACAATGTAGGCAGGTCTGATACCTTCCAAAAGCTGTTGGATGTGCTACCAATGTGCACAGTGTTGGCACAGTGTGTTGTGAATAGGCTCAGTGCTGTGGGGAATCAACACATCTAAACCCCCCATGCTGTGACCAGCCTGTGTATTCAGTGCAGCCCTGGAAATCCCAGGCTGGCTTGCTAACCCTGGACAAGTGCAGACCACAAGAACATCCTGTGGCTCAGAGAATCATAGAATCATAGAGTTTTAGGGGTTGGAATGGACCTTAGAGATCATCCAGTGCCAACCCCCTGCCCTGGGCAGGGACACCTCCTTACTAGATCAGGTTGCTCAAGGCTCATCCAACCTGGCTGTGAACACTGCCAGGGTTGGGGCAGCCACAGCCTCCCTGGGCAACCTGGGACAGTGTCTCACCACCCTCACAGAATATTTGTCTCAATACAAAATGAGAAACGACAGACAGACTACAGGGAGACATTAAAAGAATATAGAGGTCAGTCAATCAGCTGTTAGTCTTAGCACGGTGGCAGCCCTAACTTTGCTGCAATTCTGTTGCTCTTGTGTGGCTTTTAGGAGGGTAATGAAGTAGCTCTCAACTGCCTAGGCCAAAGGGGTAAAGCTCAAAGTACTTAATTTGAGAATTGAAGAACTGTGCTGGGTTGATCAGAGGCAAAAGTTAACATCTTCAAGCCAGATGAGACATGCTAAGCTGACTGGGGTACATACTCAAAAGCATTTTAAAAAAGAAGGAAGAATCATAGAATCATAGAATTTTAGGGGTTGGAATGGACCTTACAGATCACCCAGCCCCAATCCCTGCCCTGGGCAGGGACACCTCCCACCAGAGCAGGTTGCTCAAGGCTCATCCAACCTGGCTGTGAACACTGCCAGGGTTGGGGCAGCCACAGCCTCCCTGGGCAGCCTGTGCCAGTGTCTCACCATCCTCACAGGAAAAAACTTTTTCCTAACATCTAGCCTACATTTCCCCTCCTCCAATTTGAATCCATTACCCCTTGTCCTACCACTGCAGTTCCTAACAATGTTGGTGCCCAAGGTGAGTGCATACACCGACTGGTTTAATCTGGTGTTTTCTTGTTCAGACAAACATGAAGGTTCATTTTGGACCTCACCTGTCTGTAGTGAGGTCAGTGCTGAAACTTTTGCTTCTTTGGGCTCTGCTCAGTCTATGTGTTTATTCATTCGAATCATCCCTGCCTGTGATAGGAGGATCTACCCGACATGGATCAGTGGCAGAATGAGGCCTGCAGTGATTCATGCTAGGCAGAGATATTCAGGCTGCTTCCTTTCCAGAATTTACAAGGGATGGATGTTTCCTGGTCTTTCTAACTCTCTAAAGAAAATTAATGTGCATTCTTGCAAACACTCCTTTGTTCAGTGGGGCAATACATAACAATCCTACTGCCATCACACTCGACACGTTCTGCATAAAACCATGATTTAATACTCCTTTTAATGGGGATTTCCTACTCCACTTGCCTCGTTGTTTCAGTAAACATGTTGACAAGGCTGCAGCTGTCTTTCACAAATTAATAAGCTCACCTCTGTGTGGAAAACAGCTCTGCTGAGGCATAGCACAGACGTGGGGAATAGTGGTGAGCTGAGCTTCAGCAGAGGAACTGACATTGCTTCTTGGAGCACTGCAGCCAGATATTCTCACTTTGACATAATAGCCTGGCGTAATTCTCCTTTTCTAGCTCTGAGTTACCTTTTTGACAGCCTCTGCATGAGGCACTAAATTTGCTTCTGACTGATTGAGGCCAAGTAAATGGCGAATCACACTGTCACATCTGGGAATTCATGAGTTTTTCACTCTGTAAAAGTACTTCACCTCTATGAATTGACCATATGTTTGCTGGAAAGAAGATCAAGGGTTGACAAAATCAGATTTTCTATGTGTTGGTTTTATCTGATTTAAGAATTTTAACATAGGAAATATCTTCTCTGAGTGTAATGGCAGCAATTAAATGAACTGTATTCAGTGTTCAAAGCCAAGTTGGATGAAGCCTTGAGCAAACTGGTCTGGTGGGACGTGTCCCTGCCCAAGGCAAGGGGGATTGGGACTAAATGATCTCTAAGGTCCATTCCAACCCTTAAAATTCTGTGATTCTATGAACTAGTTACATTTCCAGTAGTGTAATAATGTATGTTACAGTTCACACTTTCATCAAAGGCATATCAGCTTAATTAGGAAAAGAAAGCACAACATATGACTTTGCCTGGTATAGAACTTCAGTGCTTTAAAAAGCCCAGAAATGGTCCTTTGCTTTAAAATCATTGTTTTATAAAGCAAATGATTTAGGTATGTATTTGGCTTTGGGTTCTCCTTGTTGCTGTTATCCTTCACAGAGCAGCCCAGCTCTCTCCTAGACCCTCAGCCTGTCATTTCTATTGTACATCAAGTTTTTCACTGCCAAGATGTGTCATACCTCACCCAGTCACTTGTCCTGGGCAGTTCTGGCTTGGTTTTCTGTGGCTGCAATTGTACATCTTTCTGCCCATGAGATGATTAATACATCCCTCCTCAAGAGCATGTAGAGCTAGTACTTTCCTACATCCTAGGGAAAGTTTTTACCTCATCTGTACCTTTTAGTCAGAGGCTGGACTTAAAATGTTGGTTGGGAAAAATGTAGATAGAGATTCCAGCCAGACATAGATTAAGCATAGTAGTAATATGGAGTGAACACTGTTTTCTGTGCATAGTTTTGGAGGCAACTGCCTGAAGTTGAGGTATTGAGCAGAGCATCTCCCATCCTTCAGGGGAGATCTAACTCACTACTTGGCTAGTTTTCACTTTCTTAGTCAGGATGTTTTCATACAAGGTAATTAACAGTATCCAGGGAAAGGAGAGTTGTTTGGGGCTTTTTAAAGCATTCTTGTAACACTCCCATGGCATGACACAGTAACTGTTATTTTTCCTATTACATCCTGCAGGCAGTGTCTGTGTGACCACAAAACCATTTCACAATGAAAAAATTCACACTATTTGATTTTGTAAACGATAATTCGCTGCAAATTGGTGAGACTTCATGGATACAGGACCTGCCCAGTAATGACAATGAGCTAGAAAGACTTCTGAAACCAAATGAGCACGTGCTAGTAAACTGGCCTGTGGGAGAAAGAAAGACAGAAAAGCATCTGGTGAAAGTCGTGTACATGAGTGGTAAGTGCAGTTCCAGAGTATTTGTCTGACATGAAATCCAGTTGTAAGGTATTGTAATCCAGCTGTCTGTGCTTTTGGCCTTGGTTTTGGGGTTTTTTCCCTCACTTCAGATGACCCCCAAGAGCTGGTGGAAATGATGCAAAAGATATTACGAGCAGATGAAATTACCAAGATACAAGTGCTTGGAAAAGGCAAGAGGAAGAGGATAGAAATGATATTCTCAGAAAGTGAGGACAGTGACCTGGATAAAGAACAGGTGAGTTTCTGTCTTTATGTGCCTGACATTGTTAGGCCCATAAAGAAATAAAATAGTCTGTAACTATTGACTCTTCACAATATAATACACAAAACATGGATAGTACAGGCAGGAATAGAGGAATTCTGCACATGGTACCTCAGCACCATGACCTGTCAGAGTCATTTATTAGGCCAATAGATTTTGTCCTTTGCTGTTTAAAGAGTGTTATTCAAGACTTGGATGCTCTATAGCTCCATTACATTTCCTCCCACAAGACAGAAATCTGACCAGTGAATAAAAAAGGGAAGGCACCAGGTTTTCTGAGCTGTGCCTTGTCCTGAGATCTGATGAAATATAGGGAAGAAAAACATAAAACTTAACAAAAAGTTACAAACCTGTGTTTTAAAACTACTAACCATGAATGTCAAGTGCACAGTGAATAGAAGTTTATGGTATACTATGAGATACTGTAATAAAAGGCTTCAGAGGAACACAAAGGCACTATTATGCACTTGTTTACAGGGGAAGATGATGAAACATATAAAAAGAAAGAAATCATTGCAGGCATCTGCTCCTGCCAACATCCTGAGTCATCTTGAAACATCTTTAATTAACAAACAGGTAAACATCCCTCTTCAGCCATTTAAATGTATTGAGAAAAAGCAAAGTGAAATGTATTCGTTGAGCAGGGCATAAGATTTTTGTTTTAGTGAAGTTAGCAGTACTAAAAGCCTTGGAAAATTAGTGATGGAGAACAGAGGCAAAGATACATAACAGTTACATATTACACTGACCTTTCCTTTTTCATTTTTATAGGAATAGTAATAGCTATGTTCAGTAACAACTTCCATTAAAATGCACTGAATCTGTTTATACCATTTCTTTATACCAGAGAATGTTTAGATGTAGCCACATATTTTAATGTTAGTTTCAATGTTTTTATTGTATATGGTTGTTGCTCTAGATAGCATGTTGTTTTGGGATTCTTTTTTTTTCAGAGAGAACCATATCCAGGGAACAACTTTCTGTACAGTGAAAGTAGCAGTGATGATGAGGAGCCTTTATTTCAACTGTCCAAGGTAGAACTGTGTGCCAAAATCAAAAGCCTCAAGAGGAAGCTGACAGACACCATGAGAGAAAACTGCCGCCTCAGGCAATCCCTGGTGATGCTTCAAGGTAAAGTCAGGAGTATTTTGATGAAGAGGAAAGCCTGAAGGTCAGGAAAAGCTGATTTATAAGAGGCCATTTGGATGGCAATTATGGATGCTTAAGCACCTGACACATTCAAGGCCTGCTGGTAGCATCAAAGTCTTTGATACATGGCAACATTTAATTCCAGCAGCACTTACTGTCTTGCTCAGAGGCCATGCAGTCATCGAGTTAGGTGTGGAAAAATCTGTCTAAATCCTGTCAGTTGTTCCCAAGAGAACCTTTCTGAATGCTGTGTACAGCCACTGGCTAAGCTCAAACCCTCCACTGACCAATCCAACTGGAGCTGCAGTGACAGGACAAGGAGCAATGGGTACAAATTGAAGGAGGGGAAATTTTAGATATTAGAAAAATACTTTTCCGGTGAGGGTGGTGAGACACTGTCCCAGGTTGCCCAGGGAGGCTGTGGCTGCCCCAACCCTGGCAGTGTTCACAGCCAGGTTGGATGAGCCTTGAGCAACCTGCTCTGGTGGGAGGTGTCCCTGCCCAGGGTAGAGGGTTAGGACTAGATGATCTCTAAGGTCCATTCCAACCCCTAAAATTTTATGATTCTATTCTAGAAACTGAAGCCAGGTCTTCGTGGGTGGGGACAGCAGAATGACAGGAGAGCATTTGAGTGAACAGAAAAAATGTATGTGGAAGCATCTTTGCTGACTACTTTGAGTATTTCACATTATGACGGGAAGCTAATTGCAAAAAAAAAACCAAACACGTGTATGTAATTAGAGTCTGAAATCTTCTATTACTATTTTACCCCTCCCCTTTCATCTGCTCTCAGTGTTGCCCCAGGCAGTCACTCATTTCGAGGAACTGATAGGGATGGCTGAAGCACTGCTCAAAGGGGGAGTGACATCGTCTATGCCCACTCTGCACCCACATGCTGTTTGGAAGGCTCCTCACAATCCCTCAGCAGACTCCTATGCAGCTGTGCACAGCAACTCCAGCTCACCAGTAACATTGAATGTGGAAGATGAGGAGCAACAGGCTGAAAAACAGGTCAGTTAAAAGACAATCTCAAGCATAAAACTGAAAGCTTTGTACAGTACAAACTTTACTGTTACAGTATAACAAATATAACAAATAAGCATCTGTAAAAATCATTCTGTCATCCTGCTGGTGATGATGTGACTAATGAGCTCCTTTTGTGCAGAAGGTTCTTTCTATGAAAGCAGTTAGGTCCCTAGTCTGCCCCACTTTCATCCTCTGCACTCTCAAAGTGGCTTTGAATTCAGTGGCCTTGCACATCTGTGGCTAAGGGCAGAATGTGGATGCATGAAGAAAATACCAAGAGCCAGGGATAACTTCCAGCCTAAAGGTTTGGATGTCAAGGGGAGTGGTAGTGTTTCAGAGATGATCGAAGGAAAATATCAGCAGTCTGTTTAAACCGTTGATTTGTATGTGGAGACAGATGTGTTTCTGCTCCTGTCCCAGACACTTTCCAGCAGTTAAGTAGAAATACATGGATACAGAGTAAGTAAGTTCTCCTATTCTCTGTAATTATAACAGAACATAATTGAGAAATATGAGGCACAGTCTGTACATGGAAAAAATAAAGATGCAACCAAAAGAATAATTTTAGCTTCTTTACTCACAATTTACATAAACATTCTTATGCACTGAGTCATGCTAATCCAGGCAAATCATCCTCGGGTGTTGTCATGGGGTGCTAAAACAAAGAAGTCTATTAAGAAGTCTGTTAAGAGATTGAGATTCAAATTAGATGTTAGGACAAATGTTTTCCTTGTTAGGGTGTTCAAGCACTGGAATAGGGAATTGCCCAGGGAGGTAGTGGAGTCACCATCCCTGGAGGTGTTTCAGAGGTGTCTGGATCTGGCACTGGAGGATCTGGTTGAGGGTTGAGGGGTTCCAGCAGTGACAGGTTAATGGTTGGACTCGATGATCTTAAAGGTCTCCTCTAACCTTGATGATTCTATGATTCTCTGTTTCTAGGAATTATTAAGCTATGATATTTTGACTGAATATTGCAGTACACAAAATTTGACCTAACATCTCCAAAGAAATGAGAAGACCTAATTTTTCTAAGCATTTTGCCTTGCTTAATAAAGGTAGCTCAAAACTGCCTATTAGGAGAGTTCAAATTCTTAGGCTGTAGCACTGCTGTGTGTAGACGTCACTCTCAAAGTCCAGGACCAGATGTCACAGCTCTTAGGGCATGTCTGCAGGAATATTAGCTTGGGCACAGTGCCATGCTACAGAGGCTGTAGAGAAACCATGCCAGAACTGAAGCACAGCCAGCCTGCATGGAGTGCAAGCAGAAGGATTTCAATATGTCTGAGCATGTCCTGTCCCCACTCCTGAGTAATAAGGATGATCTGGTGCAGGGTTTGCTAGGATGGATGTGATCCTTAATCTGCCCCACACTTGCTTCTGACAAAGAATCAAGCTGTGTGTACAGTTCCTCACACAGGGTGGTATGCAAGTTTGGTGTTGATCTCAAGCACACAGTTTGAAACTGTGGTTTAAAATAGAAAATTAAAGATATATTGCAGCAGCAATCCTATGTGATATTCCTAGAAAACTGCAATTCTTATACCTCTGCTCAATTTTGTCTTCCAGTTCAAGATCGAAAAGTGGCAGATTGCACTTTGCAACAAGAGCAAACCTCAGAAATTTATAAATGACTTGATGCAAGCACTTTATACACATGAATACATGGCTACACACAGCCTGACAGGTGCAAAGTCCTCCTCTTCAAAGGACAAAGCGGCAAAACCAGCCATGAATCAGAATGAAGTCCAGGAAATCATAGGTGATGACTTGTTAACATTACTCCAGGTGGCACTGACTTCCAGAGGGCTCTCTCTGAGGGAGGGGCTGTAACACTTAACAGCTGGTCTATGTTCTTTTTCAAACCATCTGTTGCAAATACTACCAATGAAATGCTAAGGAGTATTTCTATTGTGTGAGTTTTGTGGGGTATGTTTAAGTGCCTACTCGAGCACGGTGATATTATCACTGTTTTTAGCCTTTGAAAGGTTAATCTACAACAGGCAAACTTGGAGCATGATGACAACAGATAAGGGAAGGCAAAAAGAGGACACGCTTGGATCCAATTGAAAATGATGCTTGCTGTGTTCTGAAGTTAGTGAATGTTATGAGTTCTGACATTTTAAATAGAGCTAGAGGCGAAATGAGACAATAAGTACAGAAGACAGGAACAGTGATCAGAGAAGCAAACAAAATTTGTTCTATGCTGGGGTTTCAGGCAGAAAATATTTGGTGCATAGGACAGAGAATAATTTCAGGTGGAAGTAGCAGCTTTAAAGAAAACAGTGTTTTGTGAGCACTTGAACCTGATTTCTACTGGATTCACACCTACAGCTTCATACTCAAACAACATAGCTAAAATTCCTGTACTATAATCCCTCCCCCATTGCTATTCCCTTGGACTTCCCCAGTTTTCTCAGTTCCCTTCCCAGCTTAGCTCCACTTCCTGTACATTGGTCCGGTTTTGTTGAAGTTGGCCAGCGATTTCAAAAGTTATCAGTTGCAAAACCAGTTCTGTTGAAGTTGGCCAGTGATTTCAAAAGTTATCAGTTGCAAAACCTTCTTTTCTTTAAACCTGGCTACAGGAAAAGGCCCAAAGTCAAGAGAGAGAAAGGGAAAGACTGTGTAAGATGGTGAAAATATCTTCAGAGGCAGCAAGACAAGACAATTTCAGGATGACGTATGAGGAAAATGAAAAAGATTTTACGGGATGAGAATGGTTGGACTCAAAGGTCTTGATGGTCTTTTCTAACCTAAGTGATTTCACGATTCTAAATGCTCCTAGTGACTTTTCTAAAGATGGATTCTGGGGAAGGCTCTAGGCAAAAGTGAAAAGGGAAGCAGAAAAGATAATCAGGACATGGAATACAGCATGCTGAGGAGAATTCACCTAGAGAGAAATCAAAGAAAATCTGTTAAGGTAGAAGAGAACACTCTGGAATTCAAGCAGAAATGTGACAACATATCACAAGAGAAAGAGGAAAACTAGAAGGCAGCCTGGGAGTTCTAGGACTGTAGAAAATGAGTTAGTAGATCCAATTATTTAAAGAAGATGGAAACTGTAGGAGTTCAAAATAAAATTAAATGAAAGGGCAAGGAAATCAAGGGGAGGGAAGATGATGGAGAAGAGAGGAACAGGAATAGCATCCTTCATCTTGAGTCCTGTTAGTATTACCTTCAATAAATTCAGCCAAGCAAGACAGAAGGGAAATTTTTAGCAAAAGAGGTATCATCTGCAAATGAAAATTAATGGGGAAAAAAAGTACTATTCAGAGGCAGGAGGACTGACAAGGATAGGAAAAGGACTCTGACCAAGAACTGAACAAAGGGACAGAGGGTTACCAAATGCAAATCACTCACTGCAGGAAGCTCTTGTGGCCCTGGAGTTCCCTTTGAGTCTGCCAAGAGTAGGCACAGCAATATGGAAGGCACAGAGAAAGCAAGAGCTGGCATGTGCAAAATCCGTGAAGGAGTTTGTACAGGCACTGAAGTAACTAAAGCTGAAGCTGAAGTAGCTGGAAATTTAATAGATGCAAGAAATGTATTTTAGATCTCCCATCTCTTGTTTCCCTGATTTGGAGGCCTCATGTATATATCTCCTCTTTATTTTGCAGGAATCACCAAACAGTTGTTTCCAAACACAGATGATGCTTTAATTAGGCGAATGATGGGACAGAAACTGAACAATTGCACCAAGAAGCCAATTTTAAGCAAAGATCTTAACTCAGGTGCTTTTCAGAAACATAGCTTTTGGTAAGTGTTAAAAAAAAAAGTAGCCTACCATGTGTAATTTCATATATTACTCCGTATAAAAAAATTCTAAAAGCAATCTTAAAACTGCCATGAAGATATATATTCATATATGCATTACCAAGTAGGTAATTGATTCTAGACAAGCAGGACATGACTATTAAATACATGCATAGAATACAGAAGTAAACACTTGGAGTTGCTTTGCTCAGTGTGTCCATTTTAGATTTGGCATTATTTGCTTTTTTTACTATTCTCTGGCACTCCAGAGACTAGTCTGGATTCATTTTCATGTCACTTGTTGTGCCCCAATTAACCCACAAGTGAAGATAATCACAGCTCCTTTGTACCTACTGATAAAAGTACTGTAGGAGAGGAGAGTACTTTAGGGACTGGAGCACCTCAGTGATGAGGAAAGGCTGAGGGAGTTGGGGCTGTTCAGTCTTGAGAAGAGATGACTGAGAGGAACCTCATTAATGGATTCAAGTCCATGAACTGAAGTGCCAAGAGGATGATCAGACTCTGCGCAGTGGGGGAAACCAATAAAACAAGAGGAAACAGCAAAAACTGATTGCCCAGGAAGTTCCATCTGAATATGAGGAAGAACTTCTTTCCTGCAGTCACTGAGCACTGAACCCAGAGAGGTCGTGGATTCTCCTCACTGCAGATATTCCAGAACCATCTGGACACAACCCTGAGCCATGAGCTCTGGGCTGGCCCTGCTGGAGTTGGGAGGTTGGACCAGATGACCCTTCGTGGTCCCTTCCAACCTAACTGATTCTGTGAGAGCTAAATTAGTAATCTGTTACTACCAGAAGAGTCTAAACCATTGGGACAGAGGAATTGTTAATTAACCTCCTTATTTATTACAGCCATTCTTACCTTGTGAACAAAACAAAAATTGGGGAACTCATCCTTATTGTCAGTGTACTCAGCCATTTGCACAGTACTATTCCTGCATATACCAAATGTACATACCACAGAATGGCTGAGGTTGGGAGGGACCACTGTAGGTTGGCTAGTCCAACCCTTGCTGCTCAAAGCAGGATCACCTAGGCCAGGATGCTCAGTCATGTACAGTTTGGTTGAGTATCTCCAAAGATGGAGACTCCACCACCTCTCTGGACACCCTGTGCCAGTGCTCGGTCACACTCGCAGTTTCCTGATGTTCAGACAGGACCTCCTGTGCTTCCATTTCTGCCCATTGTCTCTGGTTCTGCCACTGGGCACCACTGAGAAGAGGTTCCATCTTCTTTACACTCTCCCATGCCCTGTGCCAGTGCTCGGTCACACTCGCAGTTTCCTGATGTTCAGACAGGACCTCCTGTGCTTCCATTTCTGCCCATTGTCTCTGGTTCTGCCACTGGGCACCACTGAGAAGAGGTTCCATCTTCTTTACACTCTCCCATGAGACATTCATGCACGTAGATAAGATCTGCTTGAACCTACTTGAAATCATAGAATCATCAAGGTTGGAGGAGACCTCTAAGATCATTGAGTCCAACCATTAACCTGTCACTGCTGGAACCACTAAACCCTAAACCAGATCCTCCAGTGCCACATCCAGATGCCTCTTAAACACCTCCAGGGATGGTGACTGCACCACCTCCCTGGGCAATATCGCAGTGCCTCAACACCCTCACAGGGAAAACATTTCAACCAACAAGCTGTAGATGAACAGTCCCAGCTCTCACAGCCTCTCCTCAGGAACAGGATAAGAGATGAACAAGGTACAGGGCAAGAGATTAAAATCAGGGAGACAGGGAAAACAAACTTGTCCCTTCTTACACTTTGCATATGAACTAACAATTTACTTCCTTCTGGTTCAGTTATCTCACACATGTTTTGCAAAACCATATTAGCAACTGTAAGACACTTCATAATGAAAAGAACCCCAACAACAAAAACTCAAGAACAGCAAACAAAACCACCCCAGGACATTTGACTATGTCACAACAAAATTGTTTGAAAAGCAGCAGTGCTTTGTTTAACTACAATTCCTCTCTAATCCACCTGGTAGTACTCCATGGACCAGTAGTGGTCTATGAATTACTACCTGAGAAACACACTGAGAATATCTGTTGAAAGAATCCACATCCACAGGTTTTCCCCTTTGGAAACAAAAAACAAATGAACCAGCCTGGCTCAAATATAGTTTACTATACTTTTCTCCTTGAGATGAGAAGACTTTGTATAACAAAGATCCACTGTGTTTGCAACATACAGTGTGCAATGATTCACTGTAGTATTTTTCCTTGTCCTTGACACAGACAGGAAAAAAACCAGCACAGAAACACACGCTTTGCCTTCTTTGAAAGTATTAAATATTTTCAATTTAAAAGCTTTATCTTAATCAGCTGGATCCATAAATTTTACTAATTCCTGATTCTTCTTGTGTACACAGTATTCCTGAAGCCTTGGCAGGAGGATCCTGAGCTAGTATTGTAACAATTCTGGGTTGGTTTTTAATCCTGCCTATAGACCTTTCAGTTTAAACTTGATACTTTCAAAATGTCTTTCTGTCTGTTACTGCTCAGTGCTTATGTAAAATCAGCCCAACATTCACTGAAACCAATGCAGATATTGCCTGCATAGTCTCTCTGGCTTATTAGAATGCAGTTATAATGGATTCATTTTACATCTATTATGGATTTCCTCACTGTAAAAGCATTTCAGCAACGTGTAAGTAATCAAGATAACAGTGGCGATTCCTTTAACCCAGATGACACATACTCTCTGTGAGAAAACTAAGAGCTCATAATCTCTCTGTTGCTCCTTCAGTTCACTTCCCAGCAATGAAGCACAGAGAGGGGTCAAGAGAAAATTCTGTTTGTGCAGTGCCTTTAGTAACAGCTTGTACACACAAGTTACTAACTTCTAAAACTGGTGATACTGCAGTTTTCATCTCCTCCCTTACTGCTGCTTCTTCCTTGCCCACCTCCTCCATCTTTCCTCAGAATACATTTATGATTCACACAAAGGAATCTGGAGTCAAATCCAACAAAACAGACAAGTCACCATCTCAGATCCGTAAGGCTGAGGTGAAACAAGGAAAAGGGGAATGTATCAACGAAGAAAACTATTTAACTCACTAATAAACAAACTCTGTGTCTTGGAAACTAAGAGCAGAAATTCAGATTAGATGTTAGGAAATTTTTTTCCCTGTTAGGGTGTTCAGGCACTGGAATATTGCCCAGGGAGGTGGTGGAGTCACCATCCCTGGAAGTGTCTGGATTTGGTGCTGGAGGATCTGGTTTAGGGTTTAGTGGTTCCAGCAGTGACAGGTTAATGGTTGGACTTGATGATCTTAGAGGTCTCCTCCAACCTTGATGATTCTATGGTTCTAACAGTAGCAATTGCACATGAAATGTTAATCCCTCAGTTATAAATTGTCTCCACAGTGGTTCAACAGCTGCTTCTCAGGGCATCATCTCTTCGGCTGTTCCTCCCAGTACACAAGACCAGCAGGATGATGATTCACCAGCTGCTAATGCACAACTACAGCAAAGTGACAGCTGCCTGACTCCCTCACCTCCCAGCCCAGAAGGTCAGCAGGAGTGTCTCAAGCCCAGTTCTTCTAAGGTGGAGTCTCAGCTCACCAGCAGCTCACCAGCACCCTCTCCCAACCAGGGCTGCAGACAGGATCTCAGGAATTCAGACAAGGAATAACAGAAGGTATTTCATACCCGTTCACATTCTCGACAGACAATAAGAAGTAGTGTAAAATAAAAAAGAAATCATATACAGATGGTACTAGATATATGGTACTGTTCAACAAAGGACAGAGACAAAAGCCTGAGAACTTTGTTTCTCAAATAAATTAAAATCCCACAGTCTAGAAAGAAAAAAAAAGGCATATTAATATCTTTGGATTTAAGATATTATTAGATATATGCATGTTATGCAGTAATTAAAAAATATAAACCTGTTCTGAAGAATACGAGTAGAGTTCCCCTTAGTTAGAAGAAAACATTATATAAAGTAATACCAAAAGAATATATATGAGGAACCTTAATCCCTTTGCTTTCACCTTGGCAGCTGAGGGAAAACTGCTTAACTGATCAGAGGAAGCTATTGCATATTAATGCCAAAAAAAAAAAAAAAAGATATGGTGGTATGAAAAGAGAATAGAAAAACCTCCTAGTGAAAGGAAGACTGTGGCCAGCACAGGGCTAGAAGGCATAGGGCTAGAAAGCACAGGGCCATGTGAGCAGAGAAGAAATAAAATAGATATTTAAGGATGCTATTAATGTGGGAAGAAGAAAACATTCATAGGGCAATGAAAATGCAACTCTCAAGGCATCCACAGCAAAGAAACAGCTCATTTTTAACCTCTGAAAGTTGGAAAGGCAGAGGAAGAAGCCAAATTCCCTTCTAGCTCAGGGAAGAGGCCTCCAGGATAGCCTGTTTGGTTGTGGAGGCTGTGGCTTCCTTTACAAGGCTTCTGCTGGTTTGGCAGCTCTCAATCTCTTCTATATCCTGAACATCAGGTCCATAGGATAGAGCTGCCTGATCCCTCCAGTTGGGAAATGGAGGACACTTCATTAGAAGCAACTAGCCAAGGGCAGAGTTGCCAACTTCTACTCCCTGTGTTTTGATTTTGGGGTGCTTCCACTGGCACAGAGAGAGGGTGGACAGGCAGTGCATTCCTCGTGGGACTGGGACCAGAAAAATCTCAGTAACTGGGCAGTTTCTGTTGAGATCTGACACCACTTGTCCCAGCTGGCAGTCACACACCCCTTATAATTGCCAGAGGAGGAGGAGGAGGCAAGATACATTTTTTTTTCCCTTGCTGACTGATTTCAGGTTTACAGTGTACTGATAGCATAGGAAGGAGAGAACACTTGGATTATAGCTTTCCTGTTTGTGTGTACTTCTCCCAGAACAGAGAGTACTAATAGCTGAGTCTATTTCAAACATGACAAGCAAGACAAACTAAGGAATCAAGATGAAAACAGGAAAACAACATTCAGGAGATCTGAGTTACAGAAATAAATTAGAAATAATATCAGGGTGAACACCAAGAAAAAAATCTGAAGATAAGGTGATTAGCCAAATGTCTCTAAAGGGAAGTGCTGCAAATCTAACTGTTCTAGAACAATGCACTAATCAAACACACTGTGGAGAAGACTTTTATGTCAGCTGGGGTGCAAATTAAGTGATTTGCTATCCTTTTTCATCTCCCATGTCTAACAATTCCTTGTAGGTAGGATCAGGTTGAAAGCAGGTATGAAATATGTTAGTTCTATCTCAAGTTATTAACTATCATCTAGAAAGTGTAACAGAAGTATGTTGGCTATTATGTACATTTTGTATATGTAATTGTATGTACAGCATATATAAGAATGTATATAGTTAATCATATTTTTGAAGTGACTTTCTATCAAATAAAATGAAACAATACTAAGTCTTAGTTCTGTTTTGTTGTCCTTACTGTCTTCTGGGCATTTTCTTACATCAGCCTCTGACATACGCAGTTGGGGTTTTTCTCTCACTTGCTTTTTTCTTTCTCTTGTTCTTTAACAACTGTTCTGAAGCAGCTTCTGTAAAGCTTAGCATTTTCAGCTGGGGCAGTAGGTGGCTCACCTTACAAGGGCTCTCTAACCTTAAAGTAGTCACAGCTGATATTGCACAGCTGCAGCTGTTCTGCTGTTTGGGAGGTGCTGGAGCACTTGGGCAGGTACACAGAGCCAAACATGAGCAGCTGCTCTACCACTCACTGGTGCAGCACTGCAGATAGAATCATAGACCATCTAGGTTGGAGGAGACCTCTAAGATCATCAAGTCCAACCATTAACCTGTCACTACTGGAACCCCTAAACCCTAAACCAGATCCTCCAGCACCAGATCCAGATGCCTCTTCAACACTTCCAGGGATGGTGACTGCACCACCTCCCTGGGCAATATTCCAGTGCCTGAACACCCTCACAGGGAAAAGAAAAGTTTTCCTAACATCTAATCTGATTCTCCCCCTGTCACAGCACTGAGCTGGGACCTCCCCAGTGCCCAGTGCAGGGGGATGACACTGCCCTAGTGCTGCTGCCACACTCTGCTGAGCCAGGACAAGGTGCCCTTGGCCTCCTTGGCCACCTGTGCACACTGTTGGCTCCCACTGAGCCACTGTCACCAGCACTGCCAAATCCCTTTCTGTCAACCAACTCTATCACTGTAGTTTGTGCTCTCCTATTCCGCTGACTTGGTAAATTGTCAAAGGAAAACCAGTGGGACTGCCAGCTCACCACAAAGAGTAAAGGAGGACTTTGATGACAGGGTGGAGGATCTGCTCCTTAGCATGGGCCAGGGAGAGAGGTGGGTGTTCTGGATAAAGGGATGTATGCATAAAGAAGCAGGAGAGCAATAGCAGATAAATAGCATGAATCATGGGCATAGGGGTCTGAGTGATGTTTCCTCAATTCTGACAGTGAGGGGAAATGAGGAGAAGGGCAGAAATAAGACAGATCAATAATTGTTTGCATAGGTGGTGCTAGTGACAAGGATTTGAGTTGTATTACCATGGGATACTGCTTGCAGATCACAGTCTGCTTGGGAGAGATGAGATCCACCTTACCAAGCAGGGCAAAGCTATTTTTACCTGCAGGATCACTGACTGCATAAGAAGGGTTTAAATTAAGAATTAAAGGAGAGGGAGAGAATAACCAGCAGCCCTGTGACGGATTGATGGACACAGAGAAAAACAAAGGGCGTGGGGTGATGTGACAGGAGCAGAACACAAAATCAACAAGATGGGGCTTAACACTGCTCACCTTCAGCTCTTTTATGTAAGCAAGGAAATGTCTGCAAGACACCATAATGTGTAATCCCCCAATCCCTTTCTAGGCAGGTGCAGAGTGGCCCTGCTGGAGTAGGGAGGCTGGACCAGATGACCCATTGTAGTCCCTTCCAGCCTAACTGATTCTGTGATTCTGTGACAGGATAGGAAAACAAGCAGAGGAAGTTGCCCTTTATGTAAAAGAGCAGTTGGAGTGCATGGAGCAATACCTGGGGATGGACAAGGAACCAAATCAGAGTTCATGGGGGAGGATTAAAGAGAGGACAGGTAAAGGTGGCATTATAGTAGGTGTCTGCTACAGGCTGCCTGACCAGGAGGAACAAGTGGATGAGGTAGACAGATAGGACCAGCTTCATGTTTGCAGGCCCTGGTCCCCATGGGGGAGATCAGCCATTCAGATATTTGCAGGAGGGACAATACAGCAGGGCATAAGCAACCAGGAGGTGCCTGGAGTGCACTGAGAGACTAGGAGGAGACACAGCTGGGACAGGTGACCCAACCTGACCAAAGGGATATTCCACACCATAGGACATCATGTTCAGTATATAAAGTGGGAGGAAGAAGGAGGAAGGGGGGACATCTGGAGTGATGGTGGTTGTCTTCCCAAGTAACCATGATGTGTGATGGGACCCTGCTGACCTGGAGATGGCTAAACACCTCCTGCCCATGGGAAGTGTTTTGCTTTCCTTGTGTGTGCAGCTTTTGCTTTCCCTATTAAACTGCCTTTATCTCAACCCATGAGGTTTTCTAGCTTTCACCGTTCTGATTCTTTCCTCCATCCCACTGGTGGGGGAGTGAGTGAGGGGCTGCATGGGGCTTGGCTGCTGCCTGGGGTTAAACCACAACACATGGGGAAATCATGTTTACCAACTCGATAAGGTTCTATGACAAACTGATTGCCGATGAGGAGAGTAATGGGCATTGTGCATCTGGACTTCTGGACTGGTATCTGGACTTGGCACTGCCTCCCATAAAACCTTCCCAAAGATGAGGATTCTGGGCTGGGTACACGCACCGACTGACACTGCCTGGCTGAGCACAGCACGCGCTGAGAGGCAGCGGCAGATGCAGCCGGAGAGGAACGTGCTGCCCTGGGAGCACATGTGCTGCTCGGGGAGGTGGTGGATTCACATCCCTGGAGGTTTTCAAGCTGAGACTGGATGTGGCACTTAGTGCCATGGTCTGGTGACCACGGTAGGGTTGGACTTGATGATCTTGGATGTCTCTTCCAACCAGGTTGATTCTATGATTCTATGATGCGATTCTCGGGGATGTCCAGCGCAGCGCCAGGAGCTGGGGGACCTGATCCTTCCATCTCCCCACACTCCTCGATCCTGGAGCCGCCTGAGCTCGGCTCTGGCTCCTGGCGCGGACACTCCCCACGCT